TGGTCCCTTTTCCTGGGTTGAGTTTACAACTTCTCTGAGACTTAAGGACTGTGAGTAAAGTAGTGTATGCTGGATGGAACTTGTATTTTTTGAGACTAGTCCTATGGATCCAGGAGATGTTAGTTCAGCTACTATGTCTCTCTGCAGAATTACTACCGACTTGCAATATGGCTTTTCCTTTTGTCTTCTAGAATACCTGTATCTCACTGAAATATTCAGAATCTCAAAGTTTTATTTATTTTGTGTTTACCTCTCTATTTTGAGAGGCTTATTTCCTAGAAACACTCCCATTTTTTCTCCAACTTCATTTGTAGGAGATGGTCAGGATCTTTGCGGGATCAGAGTGAAGAAAACCTAAAGTTTTAACATTTTCTGGTATTTGCTGCACCTCAGTTGTAAAGCTAGCAGGTAACTTTCATAGCATACCCAACGCTGTATGTCCCGTACTTGTCAGGATGGTGCTAGAAAGTGATCAAATACGTTCTTATGTCCCAGTTTGCTGGTGATCTTATGTCATCTCTTTTGATCTAAATCAGCAGCGAATCCTGTGAAGTGAATTGCAAGATTTCAGGATCTGGTTCTTCTTTGGTACAACCAGTTTAAATTGACATCTTCCAGGTATCCTCTTTTGGGGACCTGGAGTCAGACTTGACCAACCTCTAAAGCCATATAAGTTTGCATTTTCTGATAACTTCCTCTGAGCTCCTGATATGATCTTTGTGCTGCTCTTACACTTTTTACTTTGTGCTACTCCTGCCCTCTGTGCTATCTCCTTTGAAGTAGCCTCCTGCAGTCTTAAAAAATTGATAGCAAGTAAGTGGAGATACTTAATGTTTGAAGTACCGAGAAAATGTGATTGTTTTTTTCTGTTACATCAAGGTCGTGCAACTGAATCCAGTGCCAGCCCTTAAGGATATTAGTAGATGCTACTTAACCAATTATTTAGCATTTCTATTGTATGTAAGTGTCTAACCTCAGCAAGGGAAATTGATTGAACATTTTAAATTGGATCGCATGAAACATGATAAAATGCTGAAAATATGGAACAATTGGCATGGTCTGATATAATTTGATTCTTATGAACTTGCATGGCTTACTGGTGCTGGCTCTGGTAATTAAAAGGCTTTTCAAAATGGTCATTGTTGACCTAATTCTATTGGCAGTGTAGTCAGTGGGAGTTTTAATATTGACTACAATGGGAACAGTTAGGCCAACAGATTGCATTAGAAATCCCATGCTGTGTGGTTAATTTCACTTCCTGATACAACAATCTCTAAATATTAAAGAGAATTCTTGCCAAGATAGAAAAGCAGAACATGGGCTCTTTTCCTTTCTGACAGTCTTGACTATCTTCTGTATCCACTCAGTTATTAGTGCGGTAGCCAAGTTACCAGATGAAAAAGAATGCCTTTTCTTCCAAACTTTAGGATGCAAATTTTTTCATCTCCATCTCTGTTTTCAGAGCCAGCATTGCTGCTCCATTATATTTATTGGTCAACTTTTCTCTCACCAAGGAAACAAAACAATAGCAGAAAAATCCAAGGAGATTTGACTGTCTTGCCCAGTTTAGGATAAACTTTCATCCTATTTATGCCCTGTTAAAGGCCCATGAATCTCCTGAATGCTTGGGAATTGCTTTCTTTTCCTGCGCCATTCTGTGTTAGTGTTAATGCTGTTTTTCCCCTACCAACTCTTATTCTCCGTATTGCTGTTTTGATTTGTCCCGCACGGGTATCTGAACAAGTTATGAATAACCTGAATTCTGAGCCAGACCCTTAAAGTTGTTTTGACCATTTGTTGGTTCTTGCCGTTTTCCTCCTGAGACAAATTAGTCTGTTAATAATTACAGTATTAAGTTTCCCTTGTCACCTTACACACTGATTACTTCTGATTCTTTCCCTGCATCTTGCTCAATGGATTGCTGAGTTCTTTCATTATTATTTTTTCCCTGCAGAAGTTCCCCTGTGCTGCTCCTGTTTGCTGGTGCACTTAAAACAAAGGGCATTGCAGGACACCTCTTTAGCCCTCTTACAGCACTTGGTGTGGCACATTTTTGTTTCATTTACTTCTGCAACGTTATTGAGTTGCTTTACAGAAGAGGCTTTTTTTATGTAGACACACACACTCTGAGGGATCCACTTTTGCAGGTTATGTTAATTAAACCATCCACTGCAAATCATTAGCTAATGAGTCTGTAGGTAGTTGACACTAAATCGAAAGTAGAGCATTAGATCTTCATCGGGGCTTTAGAGAACTTTGTAAACTTTTCATTTCTTGCTGGAGTGCTTCACGCTGGCACCGCAGTCGTGCTAACATCTGCTCTCCTCCCTCTGTCAGCAGGCTGTATGTGGTACAGAAATAACACAAAGTGTCACCCATCTTCACTGATCTGTAGGGGTTTTTTAATTTTCCTTTTTGGAAGGTGCAGAAATAAATCTTCAGCTGGCACTGGGGTAATATCAGCTGTCTGAGCTTTTCAGCACTAGATGCTTAAAAATGCTTTTGCATAGAGTTGAGCATGGAAGTTTAGATTAAAATGACTCTGTAAATTAGTGATTCAGAGTAATGTTTAGTAGTATTCCTCTTTAGCACAGGGGAGTATATCTCACCCTTCCATTATACTAAATAAGAATTCTGGCATTCTGAGAGGATAGTTACTGTTTCTCATTCCCAGTTCTACTGTTTAAGTTATAGGGCAGTGGCAGTTGGGGTGTGATATTTATTTTTTTTTTTAAATGGGGATGTTAAAGATAGATTTCTGTCTCTTGAATTAGTAGAGGTTGTGTCTGTCATGGTGAAAGCTGAAGAAAAGTCTAGTCTATTTTTTTTCCCTTTTAGGCTTTTTGCATTGAGGGACGGTTGTATGCACAGTGAATGGGAGAATACAGGATGGAGTTCTCACATCAGAAAATCTTGTTGATTAGAAAACTTGTGTCCTAAAATATTTTTGTGGATGTTAAGAGCATTGGTTAGTGGCATTTTGAAAAACTTGAACAATTAATTGCTTTAGGTCTCGATTTGGACTGTAGGAGACTTTGCACCTTTATTTTCTTTTGGTTTCTGGAACTAATTCCTCATTCCTTTTGAAACCTGCTGTAGAGATTCTCTTCAACTGGAGAGTTCTATGGGGTGTAGTCCTGCTGTTCTTCTTCTTGCTGATATTTGTCCCTTTCAAAAGCATCTTATAATTCTAGTATATGTGCAAAGCAAATGCAAACCCTAGAAACCGTTCTGCTGCTTTTCTCCCAGGGCTGCATATCAGTGTTGTTTCAAAAACTGCTACAGGGACTTTTTAAAAGTGTATTTCTTGTCTGACTTTCACTGGTTCTTACTGTGTGTGGCAAGATGTGGAATATGGCACTTCTTTTTCCCTTTGGCCTTTTCTCTTTAGCAGGAAAAGCTGATATGTCAGCACTTGAGTTTGTAGGATTCCTTCTGTTATTGATCCACATCTTAATAGGTCTCTGATAAAAGAAGAGCAGCAGCTTTTATTGTGCTGATTTCAGGAACCCTGCTGGTTACACAGAAACCTCAGGGTGAGGTGCGGCTTTGGCTATGAACTGCAAATGCTGCCTCTGCAGTGGGAGGAGAAATGGAAGCTCTGAGCTTTGATTTAAATTTGGTTTTGGTGAAATAGCTTGAAATGCTAACAAGCTTTGCAGAACAACCTCTGCTCTTGTGTTCCTGGTTCCTCAAGTGTGTGGGAAACAACCACGTAATGGACTCTCTTCTCGGCCCACGTTTCTTGCTCACTGACTTTAAAAAAGCAAAACAAAAAAATTATAAAATGCACAGCTTGCTGGAGTGGGTTAGGAATGTGCTGCTAGTGTGTTGCATAAGGAGTATTTAGTTTCCTAGTGATTCCAAAGCTCTGCAAGTAATATTCTCCCTACATCTGCCTGTGAAGGACACAAGTAGGGCTGCAATTACAGATGGGGATCCTGAATCTGGGGAGAACAGACTTGCTGCTTGTGCAAAGTCATGCAAAAAGTAAATTTCTGAATTGAGAATAAAGCACTGCGGAGGTCTGTTTCAGAACTCCAGAGTCACTGGTGGAGTCTCATTATTTTCCTTGGAGTTTTAGTGTTGTACAGTTACAGGTCCTATTGTCACTTATGAATGCAGTGTCAGGAATTTTGTTTGCTGGGTATTCTGGAGGTCCTTCAGTTTAGCCTCCTGCTTGTTGTAGGGTTGTTATTGCCAAAATCAGACTGGGTCAGCCATGTCTTTGTCTAGATCCTGTCTTGAGACTTCCAAGGATGGCAACTCCACAGCTGCTCTGGGTAACCCATTCAGTGTTGCCCTGACCTCCTGGGGAATAAGACTTTCCTGTGTCTGCCATAAGACAATAGATGCTATAGATCCTTTCCCCTATTCCCTAAGGCCCAGCCATTTATTGTGAAACAGGATGAGAGGCTTTTGAGGAGGTACAGTTTTGTCTGGTACCGCCTAACATTTATAACTTCACTGGAAAAGCTTGTGGAAGGCGAGATTATATTAAACTGTGATGGCACTTAAACTGGACCTTGAGGGAGGGAGCACAAAAGAATAGTCTACAGACTATGCTCTTTTGCCTGCACTTCTGGGAATCAAAAAGTGAAACTTAACAGATCTGACTAATGGAAAGTTCTCATTAGGACTGTGGTATTCTTGCTTTTTCTCTCCCAGTCCAAATTCAAAGGTTTCTTGTTCATTTGCTCATGTGCTGACATTGATTTGTTGACTCTCTGTGGTTCTGTTGGTACTTTTGAAACATTGTCAAACAATTAAGAAAGTGGACATTAGCCTAACCATATGTAAAACTGTCAGGAGTCTTTGGTGCAGTAAGTTGTATGAATTTGGAACATTAGAAGCACATGACTTGCGCAAGAGAACCATTAAATCACAGCGACATATTTGGGATGACTAGGTGACATTGTTGGGTTGTTCTTTTCTTGGCGAATACTTTCTTACATAGTATTTTTAATGTACGATGTTTTTTTTTTTTTCTTTTGCTGAAGGGACAATGGAGACCGATCCAGGCACCGAGCTCCCCGGAATGCCCGCATGTCTGCACCATCACTGGGGCGCTTTGTCCCAAGGTAAGGCTTGTACATGTAAGAGTAAAAGGATGTGGAACTCTTGAAGGTACCAGTTGCAGTACAGTTCTCTGGTGCTTTCAGATGGATTCCTTTTCTTTCATAAGGCTGCTGTATTCTTGATTTGCAATTTCTGGGATTGCTCAGATGGCATGTTAGTATGATCAGCTCATCCTGTAACATTTGGAGGACAGCATGGTCTTAGTGCTGCTTACCTGCAGGTTGGGGCTACAGTGTGTAGGTAGAATAGGAGGAGAAAAGGATCTGATGGGAGATGCTTAGTACAACGTGCTAGTTTTGAGATTAGGAAGCTATTGTGGGAGGTAAAGGATTTGCTTAATGCTGATCTTCACAGCCACATAGATAATTTGAAGTAGTGAAGTGGTTGGCTAAGCAGAGGAGTCCAGCCTTCCCTCTCCTGTAGTCTGCTGGAATAGAGTCATGTTTGCTCAACGTAATTGCAGTTGCTGTCCAGGACTGTAGTATACTGGGATGTCTTTCTCCCTGTAAGCTCACTCTCTTTGTTTTGCAGACGCTTCTTGCTGCCAGAGTATTTGCCTTATGCTGGGATTTTCCATGAACGGGGACAGCCTGGCTTGGCCACCCATTCCTCTGTCAACAGGGTTTTGGCAGGTAATGAGATTTCCTTGTTTGCAGCAGTCATATATATTAGTGGTATTTTTTTGTGAACCTGAGCAAAAGAAAGGTCAGTTCCAAATTCTGAGGTTCTAGTTAAGTTGCCTGAAACAGGAGAAAGGGCTGATGGAGTGATGTAGCAAGCTGTCATTCAAGGGCTTGGGCATTGCAGATTCCACACTTCCATTATGTCTATGGGAGTCTATGCATGACTTGGGGAGGGGTGTGGTTAACATTTCTCCCTTTGTTTAACTTCCTCCTCTATTCCTAGATGTCTTTTACTTAACAACCTGACAGACTAATGATCAGCTTGCTGCAGGTCCTTCTAATTGAATTATAGGGTGCCTTGTTCATGTTCCGGCTGGCAAGACGCACACAAGGCAGTGCGGGATTCAGTTAGGATCTTAATAAGTGCATAGTAAAAAAACTCAGCTGCCACCACATGCAGCACACAGGCATTTGGGAGCCTTAAAGGGCAGGCGGAGGTGGGAAGGGAGGTTTTGGGAAGAGGAGGAGTATGGTACTCCAGTGGTTCATAAATGACATGGTTATAGATGACACACATCTGGAGGGTGGGTCTTTTTTGACTGGGTCTGAGTTGCTCTGTAATTAACCCCAGTGCAGGGGAGTCATCTTGGAGCTTGAGGGAGAACAAGGGATGATGTATGGATAGGTAGGTTGGGATGTGGTTCACTTCCTTCGTGTTGGTAATCACAGGACCACCACTGAAAGGAGTGCTGAAAGGTTTCTCAAGAGGCTGCATGACACTTATCCTAAGGCACAATCAACTATGCCTAGACTATTTTGGACAAGATTTCCCTAACCTGTTCATAAGAGTCTTCACTGGAGTTTTCCCAACTGTTTTGGGGTGTAACTGTTGTTGGTTTTGCATGGCTGATTTAGTATGGCAATGATCTTGTCTTTGATAACAGATTTCTGGCATCTCCTGGACTTTTGTCTCCTTGGACATTTTGGTTTGAGTGCATGGATTGTTGCAGGAAGAGCTCAGCCAAAGGCTGGCCTCCAAAGCACG